TTTCACAACGAAGCACACAGCATCTCCACAACATGGTGGCAGCGTCAACAATACTACAGTGAGAATAAAAGTTACCCCTTTCTTTGCATGAACATTTGGGCTGCGTTATGCAAATCTTTCCACATAGTGAGGTAGACATGTGGGGGCGTGTTAGAACGAGCCATTTTAGGTAGGCGTGGTTGACTCTTAAATTTTATAAAGAATATCTCTTTGGATTTGAGACGTTAGTCTTTGCAACTTTACAGATCTTCTTTATGCACAATCAGCTTGTAACACTCCAAAGAGAAAGGAAAACTTGAAATTGCATCATATGACCCCTCTTAACTTTAATAATAAGAGTTCCTGTCGTAAAAATCTAAATAATGAATTCCCCAAAATTACGTTTCTTATTTAGCTTGTGTTTTTATGTATTTGTTTGTTTTTTATTATAGATTTATTTTGACAAAATATTAAAACAATACATTTAAATAAATTTTACATATTTATACATCATGGTAGTATTTCATTATTTTTACATTTCTTTGTTTGATTCAATGTTTACTTTAAAACTTTCAAAATCAAAAATTCAAAATGGAAAAGACGGGGGTTTCAAAGAATAACAAGATCATTATGTGTTTTTGTTATTATTATTTTTTTATTCAGAAGAAAATGTCATAGGCCTTTAGGTGTCACTCTTTAAATATATGTTTAAAAAGAGACAAATAAAGAAGTAATCCTTCTTAATAGGTTGAACCTGAACATGTATAGACATGAACAAGAAAGCAGTTTCTTCTCTCTGTTTCTCGTCGCAGGAATGCTGATAATGTTTATCATGCACAAATATATCTGACAGCAGCTATCAGGAATCTTCTTCAAAAGACTTACCCTCTAATCTTCATGATTTACAACAATGTTAGTATGGCTGATAGTAATCTTAATCGGTTAGTAGTATGTTCTGTAGTAGCATAGTCACAGTAAAAAGGTCATTGCCATCCAGAACAGTAATTGAGAGTATGTCCAGCAGGCTATGTTCCAATCATATATATATATATATTATTTTTTCATTTTATTTATTTTTTTATTTTTTGACAGTGTGACTTCAGTGTGAACTGTCAGGTCAGAATTAATAAGATTTTTGCATCAACAAGCACAAATCGACAAATCTGCACAGGTCTGATGCATTGAATAGTTGTAGAATAGTTGTTGCAAACCCTTTTATACTATAAGCTATACATGCACATACACATACTGTATAAACACAAGAACATTGTTTTGTACAAGTAAAGATGTTTAGAAGCATTTAAAGTGTGAGTTTATTTCACAGACCTTTTTCTCTCTCTCTTCTTCACTCTCCAAATCTATAAAACATCTTGTGTGTGCTTTGTTCGGTGGAGAGGTCAGTAAATGACCCTAAAAAGGCCCTTAAAATCTCTCTCAGGATAAACTGATGAAGTCAAGATAGTAAAGCTAAATCCAAGAGCATATGTAAAATGGAAGCAAGTGCATTTCAATATTATTTAAAAAGATTATAAAGTCATAGTTGCTCAATTTTGTGTAAAAGAATCAACAGTGCTACTCTACACTGATGGTAAAGCTGAATTTTCAGCAGGCATTACTATGGTAATCAGTGTCACATGCTTATTCAGAAACCATTCTAAAATGCTGATTATTATAAGCTTTACCATCACAGGAATAAACTACATTTTAAAATATATTAATCAAACAAATGCAGCCTCTGTCAGCATATAGGAGAGTTTCAAAACATTACAAAATTATAATTATTCCAAACTTTTGACCCTGCAACGGGGCGAACAAGACGAGAGATGTGCGGATCCATATGCAAGCTTTTATTCAAATACATGGTCAGAAACAGGCAGGGTCGAAACACCAGCAAACAGGTATGGCACAGGCAAGACAAAAGAATAATCCAAGGACAGACTTGATCAGGCTCCGGCGAACAATATCCAATAGGGCAAGACAAACGGGTAATCAACAGACAAACAATAATCCATGCGAGGTGCAAACAGAGTCCAAACAACAAGACGAGAGAGAATTCCAAGACGGGCAGAAGATCAGTAAACAGGCAACAGGGCAACACGACGTTACTAGACTTAGACTGGCAACTAGAACTGGAAACTAGGACTGGGAACTGGCTCCGTAGAGTAGCTATCACTAGGTGAGCGATAAGCGCTAAACAATACTCAGCCATCTGTAATGGTTTGAGTTAGGGGTGTGCGATATTATCAAAAAATTATATCTCGATATTTTATGGGATTTTATCGATAACGATAATTAGACGATATTTTGCTGGGTGTGTTATTGTGCTGGTACCTTAAGGACTGCCGAAGACAGCTTACTCCTTTTTTTTTATATATTCTTCATATTCTGTGTGGTGGTCAGTTCATACTGATAGAAATTTATCTTTTCCAATAAGTTTAAACTGATATAAAGCCATTTTTTCTAAAAGTGTTCATTATCTTTTGAGTCGAATTCTTACATTTAATCAGGGAATTACAATAATAAGACATTTGGGCTGTTACCAAGCAAATGAAATCAACACAGAAGCTGCATCTGAAGTGGCATTTAGATGTATTTACACACATGTATTTTGTTTAATGCAAGACATGAATGCATTTAACCTGCAATTACAAATGCATAAATAATGTTTTGATATATTAAACATAAAACATTGAATACTGATATTTGAAATTATTTAAAACAGGAAAAAAATCACAAAAAAAAGAAAAGAAAGAAAAAGCCGAAATTTGAAATTAAAACCGCAAGCAGGTGGCAGCAAATCACTGTTAATAAGTGAGTCATTGCGATTGACCTGAATCATTTAAACCAGGGCTGCCCAAACTCAGTCCTGGAGGGCCGGTGTCCTGCAGAGTTTAGCTCCATCTTGCCTCAACACACCTGCCTGGAAGTTTCTAGTATGACTAGTAAGAGCTTGATTAGCTGGATCAGGTGTGTTTGATTAGGGTTGGAGCTAAACTCTGCAGGACACCGGCCCTCCAGGACCGAGTTTGGGCACCCCTGATTTAAACGGTTGATTCATTCAAGAACGAAACACCGTCATGTTGCTCAGAGACACAAAACAGCTCTGTGGCTGTATTCGGAATGATTTTTGTTGGCGAAATAGAGCAAAAACAAGCAATATGGTGTCTAAAACGTAAGTCTCTTAATTAACTTATTGTTTATTGAATTCAATGTCACATTTGTAATCGTGGTAATTTTTGGAGAAAAACGGCACTCTTCGTGTGAAATTGAATAACTATATGAAGTGGTATAAATATATAAATTTTCTGCCACCATGTCTTGAATTTGTGATAATTCTAAATGCATTTTAATAGACTGAATCATGCAGTGAAAGAAAACACACTGCATGTGCTCTAGGGGTGTTTTGAATGGTTTCTGCAAAATACTCGATAATGTCAAATCGCACATCGGTAAAACAACAATTACGATATTATCGCAGACGATATATATCGCACACCCCTAGTTTGAGTGTGGTTTATGTAGTGTGTGTGATTGGTTTCAGGTGAGCTTGTGATTAGTGCAATGGAGCATGGAAAATGTAGTCCAGGGTGACGTGTAACAGTTTGAGTAGTGTGAGAGTCAATGTAATTGGAAAGGGTGACCTCTGGTGGCAATCGGGTGGAATGTCTTGGGGTGTGTGTCAAATAAAACTGACATTTGAACTTGATGAATACAGTACACTACAATTTGTGTACAAAAAAAAGGGGGACGGACGATTATTTACTTGTCTTATTGTCATGCTGTAGAAAGGGTCCAAAATATTTCTTGGGTGTCAAATTGTTTTAATGAATATTGCATTTTTGAAAGGGGGGAAATCTGAGTTGCGTAACTAAGGGTAACTGAGTTACGAGTAGAATGAGGTACCAAGAAAAATATAACACAACATTATTATTATTATTGTTGTTGTTGTTGTTATTAATATTGATAGTAATATAATAAATACTACTACTACTACTACTACTAATAATAATAATAATAGAATATATTCAACATATTATTTTTATGTTACACAACTGTTCACAAAAAAAATAAAAATGTAAATGCTGTAATGCTTCAGGAAATGTGATGGGGGTGTACCATAGACTGTATAAAAACAGGGGTGTACCTTATTCATGGAAGGTGTCTAGTGAGAAAGTGAAGGCGGGGTCTGTGGTTCTGTGGAGGACAGCACTGATCAACTGCATTAGCCTGCTTCACATCACAACTCAGCAGGAACGCTTGATGATATACAGGGTTGGATGTACTTAACTATCCATTTTATTTGTATTTATTTGTTTCTATTTTTCTTTTGACATCTCAAAACTTTTTACCATTTTGTCTTGAATATACAATAATTAAATAAGATAAAAGCATGTGTTTTAATATAGAGTGCATATCTCTGGCATCATGGCAGGTCAAAAGCTGGTGCTCTTTCACCTGCAAGAGATGAAAAGAAATTCATTTGGATAGATATATTTCTATATAGCCAAGGACAGTGATCAGAAACAACAAGCAAACATGGAGACATTTACAATTCACGATATGCTCATCAATTCCACTGATATTTATAAAATATTATGTGGACTCGGAATCGGGAATTTGTCGGAGTGCAAAAATGACAATAACGCCACGTCCGAACCAAAAGGTAAAGAAAATCTTAAATTTTTATTGCATATTACTTTATTACTTTATTTTATGCGCATATTAAGCAATGCACAATTGTTAAATTAACCTATTTAAGCAACAACAAAAAAAGTCATTTAGCATAACTGAATCAGCTTTTACCATCAAAACATTTTTAATGAGCTATGTCAGTTAAAAATGTTTCTTTAATGTAACAGTTACAGGTTACCACATTTCACAATGAGCTTTTGTCCTGAAATGTTGTGAACGAGTCTAGACAGGTCTTGTAAAGCTTTGCATATCCGAGTAAAAGTTCACTGTAGTTGCTTGTTAAATCTGGTCAAATAACACATGCTTTCTCTCGTACTTGTTTGTCAGACATGAACCAGACGGTGCGGATCGTGCTGTATGTGTTCATCTTCCTCCTGAGCTTCATAGGAAACAGCCTGATCATCACGGTGCTGGTGCGGAACCGGCGCATGCGGACGGTCACGAACCTGTTCCTGCTGTCTCTGGCCGTCAGTGATCTGATGCTGTGTGTCTTCTGCATGCCCTTCACACTCATCCCAAACCTCATGAAGAACTTCATCTTCGGCACCGGCATGTGTAAAGTGGCCACGTACTTCATGGGTGAGTCAGTTTCATATCTGTAGTTCACACTTCACTTCTAGAATAGCTCAGTGTTTGGAATTGACTAGAGTTGGTTCTCACTTTGTGTCCATACTCCAAAAAATCACCATGACCCGAATTTCGATACCTGTTGCTATAATTATTCAAACTGTAACTTAATATGAATAATATTCACTTTCCAGTATATTTTTGTTTGGTATTGTGATTAGTGACTAATACCAAGTGGCTTTAAAGTAACAACTGTAGTACGTGTAGTAGGCACGTGCTGAACAAACGCCTGTAAATGTAAATGTAAATGTGAAATGAGTTCACTGTATGCATATGGTCAGGCATGCTATTTGTATTTTAAAGGCTTGCATAATTGTTACAAATAAAGTCAAACTATAAAATCTGTTCATTCAGGTGACAGCAAATCATTTAACATATATAAATCGAACTAAAAATGAGACATGATTTGATTTTCTTACCTTAAAGCTAGCCTAATACTTTTACACAGAGGAAGGTTGTGGTAAAATACTGTAGTAAATGATTCTTCATTTTATTACTAACTTTTCACTTTTTTAAAAAACGTTGTATTATATATATATATATATATATATATATATATATATATATATATATATCTATTAACAGAA